ATCAAAAAGATATAAAATAGTCTTTATTAGTTAGGGGCCGTTCACATACTTCGTCATGCGAATTTCGACATTTTTGACCCCATTTACCTGGTTGTCACACGAAGTCACAAAATGTACCACCCCCGCCCCCTGACTTCACAAATTTAAATTTTATCCGTAAATTTTAATAAATAAGTCCCTTTAAAATGATACTACATGCCCTTCACTCGGAGAAAAAATGTTATAAAATCAATAAAAACGATAAAATCAATAAAAACGAGATTATTCAAATATGTTTTTGCTTCTTGGTGTGTCCCATTCAATTAATAGTTGTATAACAATTTTTTTATAATGCACATCTTTTTGAAACAACGTTGAGAAACGCAATAAAATAAATAGATTTCTTTTCGTATTGAATATTTTAAAGACAGTGTACGAATATTTTAAAGAGGGTGGTGAACTTTAAAACTGTTCCAATACATTGTAAAACTGTTGGTAAACAAAACTTTTCAATTTGAATCAAATATACCCGCTTATTATTCATAAATTATCCCTAATGCTTACCCATCAGTATGCTGTTGTCTCGACAACAACAAAAAACATTTATTTTTTCTTAATTTGTAGATATTTTTATGCATTATTTAAATATATTTAAAATTTCAGATTTGCAAGAAGATTAAGGCGTAGGAGATATGCAAGCTCTTGTATTGGACTGTACAAAAGGATACTCCTTTGCAACAGAAAGGTAATGTTTACTTTTGCTAAATTAAAAATAAAAAGTTCAGACAACGTTTATTAAAAAAAGAACTGTAAGGCAATTTTTACCCTCCTTAAATAATAATTTTATTATTAGGCTGAAAATTTCACACATTTAATGTAAGTTGTTTTATGCTTAGCTCAAAGTTTTAAACGAAGCACAAGAAGACACTTCTCAGCAGAATGACATACAACATTTTATATTCAAGGCACAATTTTATTTTTTAAACGATACATAAAACAAACAACTATATACTTATAGTATATAATATATAATAGGTACTATATATACGTATAGTTATAATTATTAAAAGTAGAAAGTGAGGTTAGGTAGATCTGACTAGTTCCTACCCGAGTAACTAGGAGGTAAAAAAAAATCCCGATTGGTCTAATTATTTTTACATCCTAGGCGATAATCAATTCACAGTGTCCCTGAACGAAGTTTAAGTCACATAAAAATGACGCCAAAAACTGATTGCAGTTTCTTGTTCGGGACCCTTTGGTGAATTAAAAATGATATTTGCCAAAATCCTAGCTGATCCTTTTTTCGAAATTTTTTCAAAATTTATGATTTTTTTTTTAAATTTTTGTTTATTTTAAAGTCTACCTTTCACAGAGTACACATTTGTACACCGATTTTTATAAAATTAGAGTATATTATTGAGGAGACTTAAAGAATACTTTTTAATAATGTTCACATCATTTGATATATACAGGGTGGACTTATTAACCTTTTATTAAAAAAATAGATTTTTAATAAAATTAAATAAAATAACGCTTAGAGAATATTTAAAATTTTGTTTAATTTCAATTTTGAACGAAAAACTGGTTAAAGTTTTTTGATCGGCACTCTTTGGAGATTTAAAAACGGTATTTACCAAAATTCTAACTGCTTTTCTTTAAATTTGTTAAAAAATCATTTTTTTTTAAATTATTTGTTTATCGCAAAGTCTACCTTTGCCAGAGTACAGATTTGTACACCGATTTTTATTGATTGCAGTTTCTTGTTCGGGACCCTTTGGTAACTTTAAAATGATATTTAACAAAATCCTAGCTGCTCCTCTTTTCGAATTTTTTTGAAAATTCTTAATTTTTTTTTTTAATTTTTGTTTATCTTACCTTTGACAGAGTACACATTTGTACACCAATTTTTATAATATTGGAGTATATTGTTAACGAGACTTGGAGAATACTGTTTTCATACTGAGCACATCATTAGATTTATACAGGATTAGCCAAAAATCACGTTTTTATATAGTAAAAAGCATAATGCACAAAACAGATTTATCTCCAAAAAAATTTATTTTATTTAATTTTATTCAAAATCAATTTTTCTTATAAAGTCTTGATAAGAATCCCATTTTGTAGCCTGATAAACATAAAAATATCTAAAAAAACATGGGTGGGTATATATATTTTTTGCGTGTTATGCCAAAATCATGAATTTACGCTTTTGCTTTATTAAAAGAAGCAATTTTTGGCTAACCCTGTATATATTAAATGATGTGCACAGTATAAACAGTATTCTCCAAATCTCCTTAACAATATAGGTACTCCAATATTATTAAAGTCGGTGTACAAATGGGTACTCTGTCAAAGGTAGACAAAAATTAAAAAAAAAAAAATTTCAAAAAATTTCGAAAAGAGGATCAGCTAGGATTTTGGTAAATATCATTTTTAAGTCACCAAAGGGTCCCGAACAAGAAACTGCAATCAGTTTTTGGCGTCATTTTTATGTGACCTAAACTTCGTTCAGGGACACTGTGAATTACTTTAGCGACTTTTGATAATAATAAGGTTTAAATTATAGAACGCTTGAAAATAAATATTGTTTATTGAACATCTTTGAAAACCCCGATAAATCGTTCTGCATCTTTTATTAAACATTACAGATGATATCGATATATCTTTTATTGAAAATTATTTTTACAACGTATATGTATCTATAAATAACGCCAAAGGAATTTCGAAGTTCGTAATGGTGCAAAATTATATTTATGACAGTAAAATGCGTAATTCAATTATTTTTTACGATTTCGTGTGTTGAAAATTAAATATAACGCCGATTGAGTAAAGTTTTGATTGTTTTAAAGTTATAAACACACACGAATTTTAGCTTTTCTTACTAGTAGTACGTAAAAAGGAATTTATAGAGAGCAAGTAAGTAAAGAAAATAAAATTTTATATATCGAGAAAAACGTTTTGTTTGTTTCTTTATAAGTTTCAAAAAGAAAACTAAAAGTTCCCAATTTAATTTTTACTACTTATAAATAAACAATAATTGTATAAATATGATTGATCTAAATTTTCAATTAAAAATCTTTGAATACCTTTTAAAAATAACACATAACACAAATAGTTAATTACAAAACTAATATATTCTGTTTTTTTTGTAAATTATATTTTTTATGCGGTTGTGTTTTTAGAGGGATATCATAAAAAATCGATTACGAAAATTCAATTTATTTCTTATTCAATTTGGCAATTTCGAGTTCCTTGTCATTATCCGAAATAATAGACTATGTATGAAGAAAGAGATGTTCGCTACCGATTTCACAGGGCCCACCCATAATAAGACATTGTTTTGTTTTTCGATGCGTGATTTTTCTTTGTTGACCTTTGTTTTTTAATTTTGTTGCAGGATTGTCCGGGCGGCCGCGATTTCAGACACGAACAATGCGCAACTTTCAACAACAGAAAATTTAAGGGGAACACGTACTATTGGGAACCGTTTTTACAAGGTAAATTGATACGTTAGATATCGGAGTTTTCTTCTTTTGATTACTTATATAAAACTTAGCCTCATATTAATGTATCCTGTTGTTTCAAATTTTGATTTAAAGAAAAAATACGAGATATTACTCTATTTTAAGTGATTTTTAAGTTTTGTTTCAATTAATAATAATTAATAATTGTTAATAATTAAAAATTAAATAAAAAAAACAGTTTTTGACACATATACAAAAACAATTAATATTGTATATACATGTACAGTATGTCTCCGGATTAACTTTCAGATAAATAGATTAATTTTTTGTAGTTTCGACCTGCTTGACCTAAAATGATTTTTTTCGAAATTACAGTTTTAAAGGGATCTAAGTCGCTGATTCATCTAAGAAGAAAATAAATATATAAATATATACAGGGTGGAAATCTTAACTGGAATAAATTCTGTATTTTAAAAACCACTTACTTTTAAAAAAAATCCAAAAACAGGTCAATTTATAAATTTACCTGGGTAAATTGTGGTAAATCTTAAAAATATAAGAAACCACCTTTTTTTTTCAAATGCAAAGGTATATCAAGTGATACATCATTTGAAAGCTTGTGGAAAAGGAAAACCATGCTGATATCATACGGCTAAAACATCTATAACAATTATATTATCATTATAATACTGGTATTACTTGGGTAGGGTTTATAAAATGCTATTGTTATAATAATTATTATTATTATTATTATTGCTATTATTATTATAAAATTTGATATTACCATTACATGGTAAGGTAATAGTACCGTTTAGCCTTTTAATAGATTCTGGATAGAGACTTAGATTTAAACTGCTTATCTTAGCGCTTTATTTGGAATATTTGATGACTTTAACGTGACTATATGTGATAAAAATATCTTTATATTATTATTCAGCCCGACACTTTCTGGTGGTTAGAGTTTTGGCCATGTTTAGGTGTTTCTTGTTATGACCCTCTCCTATTTACCATTTATTGTATTTATTTGTATTTTACACCATTTAATTTTATTGCATATTGTTGATTTTATATGTGTCTGTATTTGTATTTGTATTTGTCATTACTTATTGGGTGTTTTCTTTGAATTGTCTCCAAGGCTTCGCTGACTGGAATATTCGTAAAGAGAGATACGACATCGAGCATGTCGCCTGGTTCCAGTTTTATTTTCTTTATGCGCTCGATGAAGTGGTTTGCGTTCTTTAAGTAAGATTCCGCTTCTGCGACGAACGGCTGCAGCTGCTTAGCCAAGAATCTTGCGAGCTCTTGTAGCGGTGAGCCTATTGAACTGACGATAGGTCTTAGTGGTGTTCCTTCCTTGTGTATCTTCGGAAGGCCGTATAGCTTTGGGCCATTGCCATTGTATTCTTGTATGTCCATTACTACCGTAGCGTTTCCTTTGTCTGCTGGGAGGATGATGATGTCCTTGTTTTCTTTCAGTTTCTTTAGGGCAAGATGTTATTATCGTGAAATATTCCTTTTTGGTGGTTTGGCACTTCTCAAGATACGTGTTACATCCTGTCATATGGTGTCGGCTGTAATGGCTGGCCTTTCCGCTATGGCTGCTTCTATGTTGCAGATGATGTCTTCAACTGGGATTTGGGTAGGTGCTACGGCATAGTTAAATCCTTTGGCTAGGACGTTCTGTGCGGCCTTATCCAGTGGGAAGCTTGATATGTTGTGTATGAATTTCTTGATGTCGAGTGGTTGGATTTGTTTGTGAGGCTTTTGTGTCCGTTTTAGCTCTTCAAACTTCTTCTTTTGTTTGTTAGTGGTCCATTCGGCGTCCGTTTGTGATCGGAAATTGGATAGCTGGTCTACCATATTCCTTAGTGCAGGGTGTAAGAGATTGCTGAGTTTCAGGTGTAGTTGTAAGAGTTATTTGTTGTTTGCATCCAAAAGTCTCCTCGTGTCTTGAATGGCTTCTCGTAGGAGCGCTTGGCTTGCTCTTCTTAGGATGGTGTCTGATTTTGAGTTCTTCTTGTGGAAGAGCTAAAACGGACACATCCGTGTCTCCCGTCACCGACTGCCTGACACTGATGAGACCCAACAGGTCGAAACACGCTATCTGTCAGTGCTGGTGGGTTTGGTGCATTAGTCCATACCATTCGGGAGACGCGCTTCGAGCCCGGCTCGGTGGCGAGATGGAAGGCATTTCAGTCTTTGCAATATTGGTTGCCTACTATATTTATATTACAAATACATGTATACAGGCACAGAAATCAATAAAATGTTATTTACATTTTTTAATTATAATAAACAATATTAAAAAAAATAAAAATTTGTTAAAAAAAACAAAAAAATCTATATATAAAAATTTGAAAAAAATAATGTTTCCATTTTTTAAGATAAACCGATTGTTTTTTTTAAGTAGTTTAAAAGAGATTTTACAAGTATTTTTTTAAATTAAAGATTTTTTAGGTATATTATCATTTATATAAAACATACATAACTTTAAAAAAAATAATTTATGAAATTGTGTTTTTTTATTAAGGTTTGGAAAATTATCTCGTTTTTTTAAATCAAAAAGTTTTTAAAGAAAAAAACAAAAAGTCATTTTAGAATTTTTTAATACACTTATACACTTAATACACTTAAGTAGTGTATGGTGTAAGTCTGTGGGTAAAAGGCATAAGGGGATAAGTCAAAAAAAGCAATTTTTCAATAGAGCCTTTAACGTGTTCGCATTAATTCAGGAAATATATTTATGTGTAGCGGGTATACTCTTTTGTTAGCATATGACATGGGCTAACAAAAGGGTATACCCGCTAACCATAAATATGTTTCCTGAATTAATGCGAATACGTTTAAGGCTCTACTGAAAAATTGCTTTTTTTGACTTATCCCCTTATGCCTTTTTTGTTAGTATAGTTATGATTGGTTAATTAATACATACACTTGTGTATATAATTATAATACCTTTAAAATGAAAAACTTACATAATTTTCATTATTTCTTTGCGAATTGTATGTTTAATTTAAATGTTCAGCAGAAATGACCTAAAATATTAAAATTAAAAAACAGTAATTATTATTTATAGGTATTTTACCTAAAACCAATCATAACTATACTAACACTTACACCATAGAAACGTATAATGAGTTGCATCGCAGCAGGCGTTTCGATTTCCCAGTCCACTACTATTTTATTTTATTTAACTAATTTCCATTATACGCATAGCATAGAGTTGCATCGCAGCAGGCGTTCCGATTTCCCAGTCCACTACCACTTCATTTTATTTAACTAATTTCCATTATACGCATAGCTGCGTTGTAGCGCACTGCTTTTTGTTAGTTCAATTAAACCATTGGCATTAAAAAAAGTTTACACTATGCAGCTACACAGTGGCAGTGCTGTGCATGCTGGAGACCGGGATTAAGCCCATTCACATACTTAAGCCCATTTAAAGTAGAAATACACATTGCTAATCGAGAATTAAGGATTTTAATTTTATTGGTGTTTAAGAGCGGCGAAATTGCCCGGTCATCGTTGCTAATTTCAGATTTTAGATGACTGATAAAAGGTCGCTTGATTTGCCCATAATTTGCAATTTTTCAAAAATGGCGAATGCCCCGGGATTGTATACCAAAAATATTGCTCTGTTGCAATAAAGTATAATTAAACTTATTAATTCATTAAATTAAATCGGTAATTAAAAAAACAGTACAAATGAGAAAACATAAAAATTCCGCAGTATACTGTAAACATGTCCTGGACTTCGCTCTCTTAGGACAAAACGTCATTTTGCGGACTTGGCGATTCAATTATAGGAGAACCTAATATGACATTTACCTAAAATACTTACTTACTTACTTACATAGGTACATCAAATCAAATCAAATTTATTAAACAATTTGGTTATCACTAGTTCTTATATTCTATTGTCAATTTTGATAGAACGCTAAAAATTCATAGTGCAAAATGCGCGTTTTAAACATTTTTAGTGCAATTTTACCCATTTTAATTTTTGCATTTTTTCGCCTTTGGGAATTTCCATTGTAACGGGTGCGACACTAAAACTGCGTTTTTTTATGATAATAAAATGTTTGTTCATATATATTAAGGTACGTAAAATTATAAAAAATAGTATGAAAAATTAGGTATTTAACTCAAACAAAATGTCAATAAAAACTTGTAAAAAAACCTTTTATAACGTCATGACCTTAGAAAATCGGCAAGTGCGACCAAGTTGGCTTCTAAAGTTGATACTGAAATATTTTGGATGAAAGCATATAGTAATATTTTTTTGTGTACAACTTGAATAGTAACCTTAAACAAGCACGTATTTTAAATATACAAAAATTGCATACTTTATTTTCTAAAATTTTCTTAAAATGCAATGGGTGCGACATTTGAACATTTTATGGAGTTCTGAATCTCTTTCCTGTTTATTCTTAATCACGGAAAAAAATAATCGGTAGAGGCTACCGATTGGCAATCGGTAGCAGCTACCGATTGCCAATCGGTAGACTCTACCGTAAAAATCGGTAGACTCTACCAAAAAAATCGGTAGTCTCTACCGAAACAAAAATCGGTTCTCTCAACCGATTTTTATCGGTAGTAGCTACCGATTATTTTTCGGTAGTAGGTACCGATTTTTTCGGTAGAGTCTACCGATTTTTTCAGTAGCCGTAACCGAGAAAATCCGCATCGATGCGCTGTTAGAAAATTAAAAAAAATATATTAATACTTAAAAATATTAACATTTAAAAATAATATTAAACATTATTCATGTTAATAAAAATTACTCTTTTCAGTCAAACATTTTGAGATGGTATTCATTGTAATTATTTAAAATATGCTATTCAAAGAAATGGGTTTTTTTATCATCTATTTAAGAGAAAGTTTATTTATCCAATTATAAATACATACAGTTTTGTCAATTATTTTATATGTAAATATAATAAAAAAATCTCTACTTTGTAGCCACCAGACATTTAATTTAATATTTATTTAGAATTGTAAAAAATTTAATAAAAATTACTCCTCATTTTTAATATTTTTGTATTTCAAATTTATTTATAGGTACCTCAAAAAAAAATACTATTTTCTATCTAATAAAAAGCGAGTATTTAACTTCTCGCTAAAAAAATACAAAAATTTTCAAAAATTGGTAATCGATTTTTTCGGTAGCCTGCACCGAAAAAATCGGTAGACTCTACCGAAAATAATCGGTAGCTGCTAGCGATAAAAATCGGTTGAGGGAACCGATTTTTTTTCGGTAGAGACTACCGATTTTATCGGTAGAGTCTACCGATTTTTTCGGTAGAGTCTACCGATTATTTTTTTCCGTGATGTTAGCTTCTTAGCATCACAATGTACGAATATTTTAAGGTTATAAATTACGTCGCAATTATTTGACTTCAGATATAGTTGTTATTTTGTTAAATAACACATCTGATTTTTTGTCAAGGTGGGGTAAGGTTTCGTGGAAATACCCCTTTTTTTAATGCATAAACCTTTCACTAAAACGCTTAAATGCTTGCGTAAGGAGCCTAAATGCTTGCCTAAAATAAAATATATAATTAATACCTTTTAAGTACTTTTGATTTTTTTATATTTATTTTTTATTGACTGTATTTTTTAGTCTAATAATATTTTCTCAAAAATTGACATTGGTACGACTTTTTTTCACTAATGCGAGTATAAAAATAATTTAATATTTATAGCATCGAACTTTAAACTGACCGAATCAATTAAACAATTAGAATTCAATAAACTCGCTTTACTAGAATCAATTGCAAATTGCATTCCGGCAGCCATCAAAACAAAAATTCAACAAAAATTAAAATATGTTTTAGATAAAAATCCAGGGTAAATGTATTTCAAAAACTTTTAAAACTGTAAAAGGTGTAAGGATAAAGCCATGCGAGATGGAGCCATCGAAACAAAAATACAACAAAAACTAAATATTTTTTAGATAAAAATACAGGGTAAATTTATTTAAAAAATTTTCAAAAGGTAAAAGCGAGGTAGAACGTTCTTTTTTCTGTTACAAAAATATTTTAACTGCAGTATCGTGATAAACGACATTCTTTAAGAAAATAAAATTATTTAGGTTATAAATATTGTTGTATTTTATTTGTTTGTGTAATAATACCTAAACTTGCCTTTTTTAATATTTTCTTTTTGTGGCCTTTTTAGGAGCCTTTCTTTAATTATTAAATTTCTAAAGGGGCAGGCTATAGTTATCACCATAACAGGTTATACTTTGGTAGAAATAATAAATATTAAATAACAGTTTAACAGATTTATTATTTATTAACGGAGGTGGTGTGGAAATTTTCTTTTTTTATTAAAACCTTGTATAAAATTATTTTGATAATAATTAATAAGGTCGCGGGCCGCCACTGCAGTACAGAAAAGTACCTAATCACCATGTTAGTTACATATAAGTTGGGCGTCAATGTGTTGTCCTTTATTATTTTATAAAATGTTACCCAAATACTTTATTTACTTGCCTCTAAAATAACCACTTTTTTAATTTTTTTTTACAAAAATGTTAAAAAATCAAAAAGCTTAAGAGAATATTATTAAAAATTTATTTTATTATTCCAATTTTTATTTATAAATCTTATATATATTTTAGCCCCCGACGAGTGTGCCTTGAACTGTCGACCAATGGGAATGAGTTTCTACGCCACCTTAAACAAAACCGTCATCGATGGAACTGCCTGTAATAGACCAACGACATCTATAGGCAAAAATGCACCCAAGGGTACCAAAGGAATTTGCATCGATGGCTCATGCAAGGTAAGAAATTTCAATAGCTCATTTAAATTTGTTAGATTTCAGCCCTTCTAAGCAGATTTTTTTTAATTCGC